CTAGCCAAGGTGTCACTCAACCAGATACATACCGAAGCCCTGATGAAGGGTTTATGCCGAAGTCCTCCTGTTCATGACCTGCCGAGGCTCTGAAAGGTGAGGCTGAAGTTCTAAGAGACGAGGAGGATGCCATATTTGCCGACCCAATGAATATCTTTGTAAAAGACTGATTAGACGTTTACTTTATCTTATATCAGGAGTATCAGCCTATAAATATAGGGTAGTTGACCCTTTGTCAATGCAATAAATGCGTGTAAGAAGGATGTAATATGTAGAAGAAAGAGGTAGGGGTATGTGGATTGGATCCAACGGTCATCGCATCTTCCCCAAACTATATATATACCATCCCTTTTGAAGGGGAGAGAGAGAGAGAGAGAGAGAGATGTAGAACACAAGAAACAACACATATATAGAAAGAGAAAAAATAGGAGAAAACCTAGGAAAAAGAATAAGGAATGAATATATTAATTTTTGGCACATTTTTTAGGAGAAAAAAAACACTACTCCATACATTTCTAGCCATTAGATCTCTTTTTTGTTTCCTTTACTTTCTATTCACATATGACTGTTCTGAGTATGTCAAGGTGAAATTATATTCACGTATCTTCAAGTTTTTTTTGTCACTTTAACCGGTGTTCAAACTGTTTAGTTGCTCGTCGAAGGAGTATCCTCCGCATTCAGTTTCATCACCTAATCGAACAAGCAATCTTAACACACCGGAATCTACCTGTGTGGACGTGTGTGGACTCGGCATCTATTGGTGCCATTTTTTAGCATCAACAGATTGGTGTCGTATTTGGAAAATCGATCATTCCAAACCACAAGCACCCCGTGGAGTAAAGCCTTTCAACAAAAGGTAACATTCTTGAAAAAGAGCGATACCCGACATGGTCGAGGTGCTAAAAGAGGCAACTCAAAAGGAACTTTGCTAAAGCTTTGAGTTGAGAAGGCACAACCATGACTTCGACAAAGGAAGAAATTTTACCTAAGCGAACTAGAGAACGCCTTGGCGAGGAAGCATCCTCGCAAAGCATCCCAATAATCCAAGAGCCATTGCCAGCTACTCCAGTAGTTGCTATCGAAGAGGTGGCTTGAGGAGCAAGCCCGGGCTAGCAGCAAGGCTCGCTAGGGAGTTGGCCACCGTCATCGTAAACATGATGGCTAGAGCCATCTTCTGGCAAAATGCTGCAATGCAAGAACTGCTAGGGCGTATGCAAGGTCAATCGGCCAACTCCTTACAAAACAACTAGGATGTAGTTCTGCCGGAAAGAGAGGTAGGTGTGGATATGGTCTCCAACTATGCCATCCACCAAATGACTAGGGATTGTTCCGCCAGACTATAGCAGGGCAATCACGTCGAGGAGGTCGTTCAATGTCTTTGATAGACTTGGTCCTACAAGGAATAGGCAGGATCGACCCCACATTTTTCCCACTCAAGCTAGACTCCTTCATATCCTCTTGAGCTAGCCACATCTGTTTGACCCTCCATTAGTGGGAGGTCAGCATGGACAACCTCAATCGGGAGCCACAGCTGAACTTTCCCATAGATACATGCATCACATGCAAAGGAATAGGCTGGAAGGATGAGCTGCATTAGCTCGAGTGTGGGCCAACCAAGATTGACCACACGGGGAGAAAAATATAAGCCCAGGCTCCAAAAATCGGCCATTCCAGGGAAAGCCCTCATAGCACAAGAGGCGCTAAGACATATAACTACTGGGTTGAACTCCATAACCCCGCCAAACATGAGCCAACCTTCGAAGCAGATCAATAAACCAAAGGCATAAGCCTTACAGAAAAATGATCTGCTACCTTCCTCATCCCATCCAAAAGATGTGGCATGGAGACGGAAGTGTTAAGAATTGCCCTAATGAAGAAGATAAAAGGCCTAGATTAAAAGGATGAGCTCCAATCTTGGCCATCTCAAGCTGAATCCTCTTGCCAAAAGAGGTGCTAAGGTATATTTGATTGTAGAGTCAGGCTCTATAACGTCAGCCAATAAGAGTCGACCTCTCAGAAGATCAGCAAGGAAAAAAAGTGCGATCTGCTACCTTCTCCATCCCTGTTAAGAAAGGTAGCTCCAAGAAGGAACTACTGAAACTTTAGCTCAAAAGGTAAAGACCGAACATCCTGTCGTTAATGGGCTAAAGACTTTGATCCCATTCAAAGAACTAAAAAGAGGAGGATCAGAATAGGTCGAAGAGGGCATAGCCCCACCTTATTTATAGCCTCAAAAAAAAATCGTACAATGTACTTGTAAAGAAGTCTATTCAAAGAACACGTAAAGAAGAAATCACTTCGATAGAACTGTCCTCATATAAAAAATGATAAGTTAGGACCCATAGGGGCCACCCCATAAATACGTAAATTCCCTTTGACTAATTGTAAAGAAAGACCATGCATGAGCCATCAGGTCAGCCTCGCGAAATGAAAAGAAAAGCGATTACAAGTGTCAAGACTTTGGCTTGGGTGACAGGATCGACCTTCTTGCCTTAGTAAAAAATATATACTCAAAAGTATTTCAAAATGAAAGAAAACAAGTTGGAACTCAACAGGTCCATATCAGAAAGAGGAAAATGGCCCAAAGAGACACTTCTATGGAAAGGAAGCCTAAGGGATTTGATAGAAAGATGGATCCTACAAGGACTGCCTCAAAGAAAAGGCAGAAGATGCCCATGAAAGAGAACAGAAAAAATGGGGGCTCACAAAGCACCCCCCAATTGCGCATCAACAAACCGAGCTCAGTCATGACACAAAATTCGCACGAAAAAGGTAAGTTCTATATATTTACAATTGAGGGAAATCCACCATTTACAAAAAGCACTTTGAAGTAGCTTAGAAATACACAAGTATACAATACTACTACTACTACGTCAGGTACATAATCTATCGGACCTCTCCCTTTTGAGTGATGTAACCATATACAGCAATCTTTACAATTACGAAGTCTGCCAGACCATGCTGAAACTCAAGTAACGACTACAATACACCCTGCCTAGTACGCGCCGACAAAGGAATAGCCTAGTGGCTCCGGAGAGGTACGTTGGTGCCAACCCCTGAGGATCTACATAATGCCACTTAGGGCACTTCGGATGGAAGTCGCACCCTATTGCAACATAATTTATTTGAAGCAATGGACGACTCATTGTACTTCGGCACTGCTCTTTGAGCATTCAAAGAAGATTGTGTTGAGGTTGCATTTTCATTTTCACATGTTGGAACATTCAATGCATTATACCAGGAATTATCCAATTATTATCCATTAACATTTGTATACAGAATTACAAAATTACAGATGAAAAAACTCTTCCATCTAATGCTTCAGTCCATAACATCAGACATTCATGCATCAATCAAGTCGCAATCAAAGAATCCAGGTCATAATCCTAGACTTCTGGTAGAACATGCACGTCACAATCAATTTTGTTCAATTTAAAATACAAAAACAGGTCAAAATTTGTAGAATAATTCGATCACAAAATGGAGAAAATGACATGTCACAAACGGATAAAAGGCAGGTCACATTTATAGAATGAGAAGAACACCTAGTTTACAATCAAACAAAATTAGGTTACAATAAAATTACACTCAAAGATTAACTTCACCCAAAATCAGAAAAAATTTAGGTCACAATAACCTAATATCATTGCTTACCCATAAAATAACCCTTCAATAAAATAGATTTAAATTCATTCAAAAAAAAAAAAAAAAAAAATCAACAATGAATTGATTTACCTTCTTGGAATTCGGTTTTGCTTCTGTGAATTTTTTAATCGAGTTTTTTTATGAGTTTTGATTATTTTTCTATTATATAACCCTTTTCAACATCATCATCTTTCAAATTTCTTCTATGCATGTTGGACACTCCTTGTTAGAACCATCTTGATGTGGATTTGTAAGGATAGATGAAGAAGGAAGTTGACTGATGATTTTAAAAAAAAAATAATAATAATAATAAATAAATAAAATCTCTTCCTCTATTATCGCTGAAGTTATTCGTAATTAGTAATTACTTTATTAATATAATATTATACAATTAATATTAAGTATTTCAATTTTGAGCTTGTTTGTGAATTAATTAAGTTAAAACTTGATTATTGAATTTGAAAGTTAAAAATCAGTGCGAGTGTTATTTTTCTCACACTTTATTACATATGTAGGGGTTACATGACAAATTCAAACCCAACACTTAGAGCTTGTGCTTCCATCACATATAATGAGAAGAATAATGCTGGTGGGTACAATATGATGTCCAAAATGGACATCCGGCACTTCAATATTGGCCGAGGTGCCGGTGGGCCCCGACGTGGCAGGCACCTCGGCCAATACCGAGGTGCCGAGTGTCCACTTTGGACACCAAAATGGATACCATGTTGTACCCATAGCAAAGTCGATAATGAGAAATGCCATCAAGGATTTCAGATTCTAACCATTGTTTTCACACTTTACTAAGAGGTTTGAGTGTAGGAGTAGATTCACGTATGAGTGATTTTTTTTTCCCCACGAGATTACATAATCAAATCTCGTAAAAACAATAAAATCTGAGATTTGGCGCAGAGGTAAACTTCTCTGCCAACATGTTCGCAGTTCGTAGTTTCTCTGGTTTAAGGTTGCGATCAACCACTTGGTGATGGGAAGATTACAAAATGGAGGAAAAAATTAACTTCGGAGTGAGATCCCTCATAAGAAACTGTGATAAATTAAGTAAACACTTAACAGCCTGTTTGAGAGTGATTTTTTTCCCAAAAAAATTAGTTTTTTGACCGTTATTTCATTATTCCAGCCGTCATATTTAACTTCTTCTCTCACAGACGGATCCCATTTTTATCCTAATGATCAAAAAATCAATTCTCAAAATAACTCCCAAATAGGCTCTAAATAAGTTTCTGTAACGGCTAACAAAATGAAAGATGCAAAAATCGTCTGTTACACCTTTAAGACTTTATGGTGCACGATGATTCCACGTATCAAGGAGTGATCTCACAATTGCATCAGCAAAGAAGGATAGAAGATGGAAAGCCATAAAATATTGACTTTCTACTCTAGTGACCCACGAAGAGTCACGGTTAATACTAAAATATTTGTTAATTAACAGGCTAACGGTAACGGAAGAGGGTGGCAAAATGATACCAATTCCAACAGGAAGGAAGAGAGTGTATTTTCAAATACATACAGAGACTCCCTAACATCCCTCCTCTCAAACTCTTTATTCCGTTGCATTCGCTAACATATCTTTTATAACGAAAAGTTCAATCGACTCTCTCCCTTGTGAATCTTCTTGAACAAGATACACTAGTAAATTTCATGTCATCATAATTCTGTCCTAATTTATTGGCGCCGGGCTCCCTACAACTACTACTACTGCTATCGACTGGCTTTCTAAAGTGTTTACGACACACAAGAGATCCTCTCCCCTCGCCTGCCCAAAAACCTGGACGATCCACCGCTGATTCTGCACAAGGGCAACACGTCTCGGGACATTCAGAAGAGCTATAGTCGAAATCAGCGAGCGGTGAATGTCTTGAATGCAATGGAGATGGAGAGGATGACGACGAAGCTGTATCAGAATCTGTGGAGTTCCTAGATAATCTATTCCAACAGATTCCAGTATCGCCAAATATTTGATCAAAATTATCATCAGTGCCAGTTGATTCCATGTTAGTGCTTGTGCTCTCTGTACTGTAAGAACCAACTTCAGAGAAGAAAGACGAATTCTCGCTCATACGGTCGTCTTCTAAAATTGACCGAATTGGCTGGAAACTCGTGCAACAAAAGGGAAAGTCATTGCATTTCTGAACATTCAATTCACTCGTAGAAACATCCTGTCCATCTGCTGAGTGAGCTCTTGACTTCCATGTCGGGTGTCTTGCTTTTCTTGTATCATGTGGAACTATCGAACTCCTTATTAATCTTGGGGCACGTGGTGAACACCTATGAGGAATTCAATAAAATCAAAAACTAAAGAAACGGGGAATAAAAGACGAGCCAAAAGAAATTCAACCGCCAACATCTCACCTTGCATAGAGAAGCATGTATGCATTTTTTGTCAAAACCTTCTCAAGTTCCACCACTTGTACCTACAACCAGATAAATATCAGATTAAAAACTTGGGGATGCACTTACAGAAGGCGGATAGTAGAGCAAGAATAATCCAGTCCCCAATGGCAAAATTTGTAAGGTCCAAACACAAAAGGTAAGTAAAATTCAAACTCTCCAAGCTCATTAATAAACTATTTTGGATCATGCGAATTCCCAACAAGTTTCCATGAACTGTCCCCAAGTTTTAGCAAATAAAATCATGGTATAGAACATAACTTGAAGAATGGTGCAGAGAAACAAATATTTATAGGCCCAAAACTGCTGCTGAACTCGAACAAATCCTAAGAATGTTATGAATAACAGTCCGGAAGATCTCATGAAATTGAACATTTGCGCCTAGAAGATATATAAAACAGATATTGGTCATTCTAGAAAAACATTTCACAATTGATTTAGTAGATTGGCTTTCCTTGACCATTTTGATCATCCTGCTCTGAAAGACCCTTTTCAAACCATATACTCACCCTTTCCCTTGTTAAAGGGATGCCAAAGAAGATACTTTCAGCAACTGACCAAAGTGTTAAAACCAGCAGCTCCCTCATGTCTAGTGTGCGTGGAGGGATTGGATATAATATCAGTGTTTGCCAACAGATTTTTTGCAAACTCAACCAAAGTCTAACAGTGCTACTCAACCATCACTCTTAAAAAACAGAGGACAATTACTGACACCTTGACACCGTGATACAAGCAGCAACCACAAACAATGTGTACAAACTAATTATCTTTTCCCTGCTCCCTTTCTCTAACAACTTCATTCCTTTAGTTACTATTCCATTTAAGGGATGAGGTTTTCATCGGACTTGCAAAATTCTACATCAAGAGTGTCAAATGTCCCATTATACATAACCAAAAAAGCATACATCACGATTAAAGAGCCTCTTGAAACAATATCTTGTCAAAGCAAAACAATATCCGGTTTATATCATGGCAGAGTCAGGGCCTACCAGGGAGAAATAAAATATCTCAAATAGAATGTGTAAAACATTTAAGTGAATTCCCAGAAGATGAATTGCTGTAGCAAAATAAAAGATGTTAAAAGAAGGTAAGGGCATACAGTGCTATCATCGACTTTAAACCACCTGCCGTGATTATTCTTTATGTAACACACATAGTGACCAGAGAATGTTGCATTCATAACATCCAAGTGCACTACTACTCCATAAAGCTGATAAATTGGGGATTTGTCGCTTGTCCCGCTCATATATGGGGCCATATTCAGAATTTCTGGAAATTTAATTCTCTTATTCAGCTTCCCAAATTTGTCTGCCTGTAAAACAAAAATGGTAAGCAACTCGTAGAAACTTGAAAATAGATTAAACACGTATTTGCTTCAAATGATAACCTGAAATCTCTTCAGCACAACAGTGAGGACATTAGGGGCCTCCAGTACTCTCAACTTCTTTTTGGCCTTCTCATATGATCTACATCTGATGAAAAGAAAGACGTATTTTAATTGATATTCTCGTGCGTACCATCAGAATTGAAAATATAAATCTACCTCATCTACGAACAATGGCTAGGATGTCAAGAAAATAAAACTGCATGCACCATACAAAATTACGAAAAACAGTGAAAATACTGTGTACCTTTCCGTTCTATTCTCTACCTGAAACATGTCACCACTATGATTAGATGAGAGTATAGGAGTTATTTATTAAACATGTCACCACCTTGAAAAGATGCCAGTCAGCAGAGTAAATCCTCAAGGTTACAAGCCAAATTTCAGAAGGAAAAGGTCACAGTTCCAGGAAATGTGGGGCTCTTACTAAGGCAGCATGTTTATGTCTGTGTCCATGTTGAACACAAGTCGACACTCGAAGACATATATCCAACAAGCAACAGGACCTTGTCCCAATTTTTTATGTATTTTTAAATTACCGACATTTAAGGGATGCTTTAGAGACACCCCACGGGTAAACGTCTGACATTTTTGCATAGTGCGTCTGGTATAAATAATTATAAAATAAAGATGTAATGTATGAATTTATATATTAAAGAACTTAAAATCTGTTTTCCCCAACATGCCCCTGTCCTACTTATTTGCAAAATCACGTCGGCTAGTACATATTCGAAACACATATCCGTGTCCGTGTCCATGCAACCTTGTCAACTAGTGTAAACTCCATGTCAATGTGATCACTAAAATGTTGACCACATAAAAAATTAAAGAATAAGAAAGTCGTAGGTATTTCAATTCAAACAAGACAGATAAACCAAATCATCAAAAACAAAACAAAGAAGTGAAATGGATTAACAGAAGAAAAGCCAAACCAGGTCATCACTAAGAAAGACATGCATTAAACCAAGAAAAACTGAAGATTTTATTTATTTATTTATTTGTTGCACTAGACTACAAAACAAACAGGATTTACATACCTGCTGCAGTGATACTTATTTTCACCATCTAAAGTCTCGGTGTGAGTAAATTGCTCTATGGCCTCTTCCAAAGTTCCTATATCACCTCCAATCTCAACAGTAAGATCCATCATTCTTTCATGCCGTTCAGATTTGCCTCCACACCTCATACACTCAATCTGCACTTTCACATTCACAACCAAAATTAAAATCTATGGAGAATATTCTCAAGGCCATATCGTTATCAATTTTGTAGAACCCAATAATTGCCTCAAATCACCTTTGATCGGAGGTAACCCCCAAATGTAAGCCCCATGAGAGTTGTTTCTTCATCCAAAGGGCTAGGCTCTTTAATCTCTGATTCCTTCAGGCAAGCAACTTGCATGGAATCAATTGCACATCTAGATTTAAAATATATTGGCACAAACTTAGTGATAAATCATCCATGAGGCTGCAAAATATACATTCACCAGGTAGGTAAAGGACAGATTACCTAAGAAATTCATGAGCATCTTCTTCCCTCCCATTAGCCAGATGACTTCCTATGTTCTGTAACTGAGATACTATCCTAATAGGCGAGAAAGGAGAATAACTTTCCCTGGCCTTTGAAACAAGAGTTTCAAACTCACAAGTGAAGCACCAGTCTTTTTTTCGACCTGATAAAGACAGAAAATGCAGTGGAATTAGATACAAAAAAAAGACCAAAAAATTCCACAAACTAAAGTTAACAAGGCATGGCTATACAAGCATGAAAATAAAATCCACCAAATGATTAATTGAGAAAACACGACCAAGATGGAGCAACTTACAGGCTTTTGAATGCAGTCCTTGTAGAAAATAAGCTGTCAAAGGTGGTGTGAATGCCAAACATTGAAGCACGGCATTTGCATAACAGCTACAGGAAAGATTAGGAAGACTTAAGTGGGATCTAATATTTAAACAAAACAATACTAGCAAGTAGCAATAATTACAAATCAGAAGATTTATCATAAGTCACATAAATAGCATTTTGTCGCAGCAGACGTAGATAAAAGTGTTCAACTATTATATATACAATCACATTTAGGATATCACATACTTGCATATATAATTTAAACAATAAAAAAAATGCATGAAGCAAACCTTTGAACATGGCACATTTAATACATGAATACACAATATACATGCATAAATAAATGCAATCAGTTTCTTACACAATGTTAAAGGGAACGGCAATAGCAAGACACAGATAATTCAGAAATGCTTGTGTGCCTAAGCCCATCAAGTCAGAATGCTTATTCAACTATTTAAGCTTGTAAGCACAGTTTTACTGGCTTCTGGTATCAAATTTTACATTTTATACTGTACCAAAATTCAGTCCATATTGACCATGTGAAACATAGCCCTAGTTTGAGCCCCAATGTTTGTGAAAAATGAGGTGTAATGGTGATTTTTTGGAGAACATATAGTTAAAGATTAGGGAAAAGTTTTTGGCTTACATGTAAAAATTATTTTACTATGAGAATGTGGAAGAAAATGAGTTTAAAAAAAAAAACGAGTTTTGAAAAAAGGGAGCTCAAACAGGGGCAGTCTACAATGTGAGTGGAGAAACTCAATTCCCCATATCTTCCTACGAAGAATGGACACATCGACGAGTGATTTTTTCAAAAAATGTCGGATAGGTAACTTGCTTATTTTTTTTAAAAAAAAATTTATATATATATACACACACACACACACATGTACTAACTACAGATTTTTATTTTTAAATTTTTGTCAAATATAAAAGACCCACACAAAAAAGTTGAAAAAAAATGTTTAGAATAAAAGCAACAATAAAATCAGAACCTGCACATCGAAAAGTTTCGTATGAGTTGGCTTTGTTTATTCGTAAGTAAGATTGTGATTCTATTCCCAAAGTATTGTGATTAAAAAAGGAAACTCCACTGCCCCCCTTCCTTCAAAATTCTGCACCCATCCCTCCATTTTCCCCTTCACCATCAAACA